GGGTCCCCGCTCGCCTGCTGCGGGCAGCCGCCTGCTGTGGGGTTTGGCATAGCAGCCCGGCCTTCTCGTGCGTTGACGTTGTTTATTTGAAAAATGCATTTAGGTATTCTTTGAATTTGGCTTAAAAACATCCTTTCAGCTTGCTCTGTCCCACATTCCTGTGCTGCAGGCTGCAGAAATCTCCCCGGAGGAATTTATGTTGTGTCACCCTCAAGGGCTCACGTAGCAACGATGATGCTCGGAAAGTTTCCTATTCTTTTCCCATTTATTATTTTCCTCAAAGAAAGGCACAACATGTCCCATCAGGAACAGCAGCTACACGTGGAACTGGAGGCAATGCAAATTAGTTTAGAGGAATGGTCAAACATCTTTTTATGCTCCGGATATAGACTCTTTTTTAGCTGTGTGAGTACATGGAGACCCAGGCTGCAGCTGCTGTGGTGTTTGGGACGGAGGGTTGGTGGGCTGGGAGGGGGGAGCAGCAGAGCACAGCACAGCGCGTCCCACCAGCCACGTGTTGGCACGGGAAGGCACAGCCGGGTGGTTTCTGGCTGAAACGAGGGGTTTCTGGCTGCTTTTCTGGTTGTAGTGGCATGCTGGGAGGTGGCACGAGTCTGCATGCTCTGTGTGCGCTGGCATTGGTGGTGTCGGACTGCTTTTCACATTCCGCTGCGAAGCACCCTTCCATCTTCCTCTTCATCTTGTAAAAGATAGGGAAAAAATTTCCTGCATTTTTTGGGGATGTTGACTCGAATCCCTTTGTCCCCAGCACGGCGAGCATTACAGGATCGAAATATTTGAGGGGAGCCATTTTAGCGGTCCCAGCCTGGAGCTGACAGAAGATTGCTCCTTCCTGCAGGGACAAGGCTGGGACAAGACCTGCATCAACGCCCTCAAAGTGTACGGCGATGGCGCGTAAGTAACCACACGTGTCCCGGTGCGCAGCCGCTGTGGTGCTCCGTACCCAGTGCTGCAGGGGAGCGGTCAGCTGCAGAGACCCCCCCGGTCATGGAAAAAGCTGTTGATGCTGGGAGGACTTGGAGAAAGCCTAAAAATGTGAGTTAAACCTGTGGTTTAAAGATGAATTTTGGTGCCTGCCCATCAAGAGCTGCTTCAAAGGAGCGTGATTTCTGGAGCATAGCAGCTAAACACAATCAAATCATAGAATCATTAAGGTTGGAAAAGACCTCTAAGATCATCAAGTCCAACCTTCCACCCAACAGCACCATGCCTGCTATGTCCCAAAGGGCCACATCTACATGGTTTTGAACACCTCCAGGGATGGTGACTCCACCACCTCCCTGGGCAGCCTGGTCCAACGTCCGACCACTCTTTCAGTAAGGAAATGTTTCCCCATATCCAATCTAAACCTCCCCTGACACAACTTGAGGCCATTGCCTCTTGTCCTATCACTCGTTACTTGGAAAAAGAGACCAACCCCTGCCTCACCGCAATCTCCTTTCAGGTAGTTGTAGAGAGTGATAAGGTCCTCCCTCAGCCTCCTCTTCTCCAGATTAAACAGCCCCAGCTCCCTCAGCCGCTCCTCATAAGACTTGTTCTCTAGACCCTTCACCAACTAAAAGAGCTCTGAGACATCTGTTTAAGGTGGATGAAACAAGAAGCCTAAACCCAGCACTTTTTTCCTTTCTTTTTTTTAAACACTTCTGTGCATGTTTCCCAACACCCCTTCAAAATCCACCCAGAGGCTTTTGGGCGGGGTGGGTGGATGGCTCTGGGTGATGCAGCTCAGGGCTTTTGCTTTGCAAGTGGCTTCACTGAGGCTCACTGTGACACCAGCAACATCCTCCTCGGACAGCAAAAATGAAGCAGTAGCATCTCGCCGTATAATTAAATCCTGCCTCTGAAAGGCAGGGGCAATGGCAGCAGTGATGCACAGCCATCCCGAGGCGGAGGTCTGGTCACTCTCAGTGCCTCGTGCACCCACTCTGTGGTTGCGTTGCAGATGCTCAGCCCCATCCTCCTGCCCCCGCAGATGTTCCCGAAAGCCTCGGCAGGATGGCAGCTTCACCTTTTCCTTGCTGTTGGGTGGGAGTTTGCATTTTGTCGATGGTGTCGGTCCTTTTTATGGTTATCTGCTCCAGTTGTGAGAAGGGTTGCTATCCGTCCATCTTCCCTTTCCACAGTCCGTCAATTTTGCGTCCAGTTCTGGGCTCCCATTTTCAAGAAAGACGAGGAACTACTGGAGAGAGTCCAGCGGAGGGCTACAAAGATGATGAGGGGCCTGGAGCATCTCTCCTATGAGGAAAGGCTGAGGGAGCTGGGCTTGTTCAGCCTGAAGAAGAGAAGGCTGCGAGGGGATCTTATATCGGCTTATAAATATCCGAAGGGTGGGTGTCAGAAGGATGGGGCCAAGCTCTTTTCAGTGGTGCCCAGTGACAGGACAAGGGGCAATGGGCACAAACTGAGGCACAGGAAGTTCCGTCTGAAGATGAGGAAGAACTTCTTCCCTCTGAGGGTGACGGAGCACTGGAACAGGCTGCCCAGGGAGGTTGTGGAGTCTCCTTCTCTGGAGATATTCAAGACCTGCCTGGACAAGGTCCTGTGCAGCCTGCTTTAGGCAACCATGCTTTGGCAGGGGAGTTGGACTAGGTGACCCACAAAGGTCCCTTCCAACCTCTACCATTCTGTGATTCTGTGTGATTCTGTATAACTGCATTCTCACTGCACATTGTGCTGGGAGCAGGGGAATGACATAAAATCCTGCCAGAGCTGGGCAGAGGGGAACCCCTGCAGAGAAGGGCGCACACAAACGCTCTTCTCCACCTGGCCTGGCCTGGACATTGCACACTCACTGGGCCATGGCATGGGATGTTGGACCCTTTCTGTCCTCAGCCCTTTTCTCCCAGAATAGGAAAACGGTTGTTGCCATCCAAGCTCATGACATCCTCACACCAGTGGGCTGCAGGACCCTTTCTGATTCAGCTGAGACCTCTCCTCTTCCAAAAAAAGAGGCTTATGACCAGGCAGTGACAGTTCGTTAAAACTAAGGAGCAGAGCTACAAGCTCCTGATGGGAAGAAATGGCTGGAGCCCACTGGGGACCCCATTAGCGCTGAGCATTTGAAGAAAAAGGCATCTGAGTACCAATACTACAAAGCCAAGAGAGAGCCTGCGGGTGCTCTGGCAAGAGATTTAGGGCCAATTATTTACCACACGTGTCCCTGTAGCAGAGCCTGGAGCTGGAGAAGTTGGGAAGCTGCCCAGAAACTTTCAAGCACTTAAATCTTTCAGATGGATTTTCCCCCTCCCCTGCAAAACGTAGAAGGGGCACAAAGCTTGCTTTCCCTCGCATGGGAGCCTAGACTGCTTATGTTAACGTTACATGACTTCTCAAAGGCTTCGAGTAGCGACTAAAAAAAACAGAAAAAAAATAAAGTACTGAGAGGAGCGTGGTGAGGAAACTGGCAGTGTTTTGTAGAGTTATATCCGGACCCCGGGAAGACGGTCATTGAAAGCGTGGGGAAGAGTCTGTAAAGGCCCTCAAAAGGCAGGATGGTGCAGATGGACCTGCTGGCCTTGGGCTTAAGGAGGAAAGGTGAGACCAGGGAGGGGAACGGGACCCTATGGTGCTGCTTTTCTCCTTTGGAGGGACCATACAAGCCCAGGTGACCTCAGAAGTGCTGCAGCTGTAGCTGGTGCTGGACTTAGCCTGGCAAAGTTCTCCAAGGACCCGTTGCCTACCATTTGAGGAGCGGAGGAGATCAGGTCATGGAGACAAAGGGAGTTTCAGCCACATGCTGTCTCCAGCACATCCCCAGGCTGCGTGGGTCTGGTTTACCCTGTGCATGCTGAAAGCGGACGTAAAGCAGGGTCCCCTTGAGTTCCTCGCCTGCTCCCAGCAGCACTGAAGTCTCCCTCTGCAATTTTCCCCCTTCATTCCCCCAACGCAATGTGCGTCTGGTGTCTCAATGGGGCTGAGGGTGTCTGGCAGCTTCCCCACTGCCCTTTTGGCGCTGGCGACTGCTACCCCGCACAGCCAGAAAGGCTGATGAAAAAGCTGTTAAAGCCACGCTGGAAATGAGCTTGCTATTTTGGAGCAATGTGGAGATGTTACCTCCTCCTCGGAAGCTGTTGCAGTTTGCGTGGCGAGCGGCTTTGCCAGTCCCACGAGCAGAGCCAGCTCTGGTATCACATATGGTATCATCTGGTTTTAGATGAAGATGAGTGCTTCTTCTCCTTCTTTGTGCCTCAGCCACTCCACAGAGCATTGCTGAGGAATGACAGCTCCAAAAAGCTGAATTTGTTTTACAGTCCGGGAGACAATATCCCAAAAAAGGGCTTTTCCAAGCTACAGTGATGTAACTTGAAGGAATCAGACCAACCATTTATTCTGCTGAAGCATTTGCGACCATTTGGTAGATGTGCTGCAGTCAGGCTGTGAAATATTAACCAGAACAAGTACCCAACAAGCTCTCAATACACGTTACCTATTTCCCAGCAGAGGTGACAGCTGCTCATGGCATGGCTCGAGTCCTACGTGGAGAATGAGTGACCTCGAGCCCTACTGACAGCATCAGCTTGGTTCAGGCTGGAGCTGCAGAACTCCCCTGCTCATTTTTTCAGCCCAAGCAGCCAGTTTTGGCTTACAGGGCTTGAGTTGGTTCCATGCGAGTTTTATTCCCATGTCCTCTGGGTTTATGTGCTAATGAAACACAGCACCGAGATGTTTGAGGGCTGCGTGCTATGTGCTTGGATCAGCTCTCCCATGCTGGGCTTGAGGACAGGATTGTCTTTTTTTTTGTTGTTTTCTGGGCTCCTGACTGACTTGATTTCCTCTCTCACTGATGGTCTCAGAGAATGTAAATTTTAGGCAATAAACGAACAGCTAAGTAAGCCTTACAAGTCTTCACTCATCACCTTGCACTGCCAATACACTTCACTCCCATCTTTCTACTATTCCTTTTACTCCTCTTTTTTGCAGTCTTTCCC